GCTATAGTGAGATGGGTTTTGCAACTTAGGTGATGTCTGGCTAGCGTATGGTCAGTAGCAGTTCTTGTGTTATCAACAGCTAGTCTTTGTTCATGAGCACTAGGGCTTCTGTAGGTTTCTGTCTGCCTTGATCAGGAGTTTCGTTTTTTCCCTGGGATGGTGGTGCTGATAATGTCTTTCCCAATATAAAATAAGCAGTGAATAAAGCAGCACGGAAATAGTGTGAGCAAATGAAAAGTGCAACACCTGGAGCAGCAGGGAGAGGATTTGCATGCTCTGTGTTCGCTTTTGCTGCGTGAGACGCGTAACGTGAGGGACATTTTTAGTTTTCTGAAAGCACTAACCGTTCTCCGATGCGCTCTACAGGGCGAATCAAATGTCAGGAATTACTAAACACAAAATACCCTTTCATACAAACTCATGGTGTGCTTGTATTTTGAGTACTATGTGCGGCTCTCTTCTAAACAAGTGTGTAAGAAACAACAGAACTGACATCAGCAGAGAAGAACGTCAAGGATGTTGGGAAGAGTGAAGCATCTTCTCTGTGAGGGGAAGAGGAGGGAGTTGGTGCTTTTCAAAGATGAAGATACATACACAAAAGTTATCAGCCAGACCTTTTAAAAGAAGTCAAGTGAGGCCAGGTTTCCATCGTCTCTTTTGCCACATTGTCCTCTCTAAATAAAATCAAATTCTACATGGAATGTCCTAAACTGCATATCCTGAGTGAGGAGTGGTTTGCTGGGAAAGTGGGATGGGGGGGCAGGAAGAGGGCAGACAGTTCAAATGGGAGTTTGAGCTGGAAGCTTTGAGTAAATACATGGCCAAGCAGCGGAGCAGATAAAGTGTCATTTCTTTTCTGTGGTTTTGTGGGCTGAGTATTTCTTTAAGTGCTTTTGTAGCTGTCAAACAATTAGCTTACACAAATAGGAACATGTGGCTGTGAGGAAATATGCTTTATTTTTTACTCTGCTGGCCTAATTCCGGATGCTATCAGAAAGGTTTCAAGGTTTCGATAACATTCTTGTGCAAAATGCATTCAGCCTCCTTTCATTTTCCCTTGGAGAGTATTTACTAACTACTGCAGAAGCAAGGATGGCCGAAAAATAATAGAGAGCAAGCAGACCAACTTTCTCCCTCTTGTTCTTAGGAGCTGGTTCAGAAAAAATGTTCAGGCTGACAAGCGACTGGATGGGTTAAGCAGCCACAGGCAACCCAGATTGCTCTGTGGTGCTGTAGAATCACAGTCCTTTGCCTCAAAACCCGCTTTTTATTTGAATCACCAGATTATTAGGTGCCTGTCAGGATATGCGTGTACCAGAGATGGGTCTTGGGGAGGTGGAGTAAAACCTGATATTGAGGAATCCCTGTGCCACCTCCCCCAAAGAAATGAAAATTAAGAGGATCAGTCCTAGTTTTGTTGTGTAGTGACCACAAAGACAGTAAATAACGTCACAGTGATGCGTTAGCAGTGATGGTCCCTGGGTGCGTAGCGGCTGCAGGTTCTCCATCGTTTGGTCATTCTATGATTCGGAGAACCTGCCCTTGTCACTTTTTTAGGGAGGAGAGGTGATGAGATCATGCTAAAGTTTGTGCGTAGCTAAATCTGCCTGGTGTGTCAAGATTTGTTGTCATCTTTCCAGCGAGAGCAGTTATTCCTATTGTTATTTTACATCATTATTCAAACAGGTGATTTGAAAAAATTCAAAACAGCCTTGTTGACTTGATTCAGAATAGTAACTGGAAAAGAAATGAAATCAATCATATCTGTTTATTTCTTTTTATTGATTGAATAAGTTGTGGCAAAGGTCTCAGTCTGTATCCTGAGGCCTTTGCTTCAGTGGTCTTAGCCAGCAGTAATCCAGAGCTGAAATCTCCGGGAGCTGTTTCAAAACTTTGCTTCCCTGGCATAATCTGCATGAGAAGGAATCGTACTGAGGCTCTAGGGCTGTGCAAGGGGAGATCTTTGTCTTCTCTTCCTTGTGCAGGCACCCAGCTCCCTATACAGACCTGGGGAATGAGTAGCTGGAATGAGTCCCAAGGCTTTTCATTGCGTGTGCTTCTCAGGAAGGCGTAAGAACATGAAGCTGGTGTAGCAGAGGCTGGCCGTGTTACTTCTTGCACGCTGCCTTCTTGTGTGCAGTGATGATGAGCGTTGCAAGTGGAGAGCAGTCCTGTCACCATTCGGAGTGTTTGCTGTCAGGAAAGAGGCATGTTGGTTAATTCGGTGCGTCCTCTTGCTTCTCTTGAGCAGGACACCGGTCTTTCAGGGCTGATGCTGTCAAATACAGCAGAAGGTAATGAGGCATCTGCCCCGTGTTCCCGACAGCAGAAGGCATTATCATCACTAACGTTATCTTCATCGTATGTCTGGGCATGAATCCTAAATTGTCTTGTGCCTGGGCCATCAGCTTCCATTCATTGTGCTTATAGTTTGTTTTTCAGCTAAAAAACGTTCTCTGTGAGTCGGACTGGTACTGGTGAAACTGAACCGTAGCCGGTGTATCCGAGATGGATGGTTACAGCAGTAGTTGTCGTTTTGTGATTGCAGAAGGGAGACTGCTTCTTGCTGGACTCGCTGGGCTGGTTGGTAGTGGCCTGGCTGTCTGGTGGCTCCATCTCACCAATGAGGAGGAGCACGAGTCAAATTAGTAAGTCTTTTAGTGTGTCCAGATCTCCTGGAGCTTAGGCCTACTGAAGCTGATAGAGAGAGTCTATATGGGGAACAAAAAAAAAAGGTAAGAGATAATTATGGGTACTGGCCATAGCACACAGGTATTTCTGACACAGATAGACTGCGAGATCAGTGTTGTAGCTCACTTGTCTGTTTGACTGTAGGTGGGTTTTGTTTCCCTAATGACAGGAATATTTGGGTTTATATAGTTAAATATCTTGTCCCACACATAGCCCTGGTCTGGTTGGGCCGTTTCTCCCTGGCCTGTTTCTTTCTGGATTCAGGAGTGTGAAGGACACTGAGCATTACTGATGCCGTTATTACAGTTGTAATTTGTAACTGCTGAACTTTTATGGTTTTGCAAACTATAGCTGCAGCACAGCGACAGAAGAAAAATCATCTGGTGAGCTAGTCTGAGCATTATGGGGTCAGTTTATGGGAAAGATGTGTGAGCTCTCTGGGATGCGTCGGCAGGCTGATGAAGCAAGCTGAGACTCCCTTGTGCAAAATGAAGCCGCTTGTCCCTGTGCGCATGCCCCGCTGTGTCTAGCGCAGGGCTTATCCTGGCCACCTTTGCGAAGCGTGTCGACACCTGAAAGCTGCGTGCGGGCTGGGCAAAATAGCTGTCGTCCGCGTGGGAGGTCTGCGACCTGTCTCCGTGTGTTTCTTGTTAAGAACTCCGTCTGTTCCAGGTAAGATAGGGGTGATACATCCAGCGTGGCTGATTCCCTCTAGTGTCGTGGTTGCTGCAGAGGCAGCAGCTTTCAGGCAGAAAAGCATCCCTGTTTCTTCTAGATCTAAGACAGTCTTAAGGTGGTGTATTAGTCATGTCTGGATACCCAGCCAGTTGGTAAAATAGGTTAAATACGAAGTACAGGGAGAGCAGCTCTCTGGAGCTGGAGGAGGGAGGGAGAAGGGGTCAAACTGTACCGCAGGAGGTTAGAAAAGATTATTTTAAGGATAAATTCCATGCTGTCTTACTTTTCCTCCCACCACCCTCTAAAAACGAGGAACCCGTAACAAGAAGAGCTGCCGAAGGCAAGAATTCACACAAGCTTCTCCCATCTCATGGGATCTCTGGCCATTTGACACTTTATCTCGTATCTTTTTTCTCACCCCCATATGTCTTCCCTGTCTCCGTGTGGTTGACCTCAGTGGGAGGAGGACACTGCTGCGTCTTTGCGCTATGTATGATCAGATTGTTGAGCGTTTTTTAAAATGCTTTCTCCAGTTAAACAACATAGTTTTATGCACATTAGGCAACATTTGTTCCTTCAGATAGACAAAGATCTATGCTAGTAACTCAACATAAACAACAAAAGTCCATTTAAAAACAAAAATCTTTTCTTCTCTTGTAACATTGCAACAGATTAGCCTTCTGCTAAGCGCTCGGAAAGCCTTTGCCAATTATTCCAGTTCACATCCAGAGATAAAACGATAACTGTTGCTATTGTTTCTAAGTCCAAAAGAAAAATAAACACATGACTTGCTCGTTGGTAAGATATGAGATGCTTCACTCAAAGTGTTCAACGTTCCTCGAGTGCTGGTGCTCAGTCCTTCCTACACCACTTCGGTTTCACGCTTTCTGAAGCTGTTGATCATGGCTCTGACTGGATTGGGCTCATTCTCCAAGTCTTTCATGGTTTTATTCTTCACACAGCAGCAACAGTCCAACAGCTCGTAGAGGAAAGCCAACACCACCAGAGAAACTACGGTGAAGATGAATATGATCAGAATAACGAAACAGGCAGTGTTCCAGTTATCGTGGAAAGGGTAGATTTTTTGCACTTGAAAGCTCAGGTACTGGGAAATGGATGTAGTCTCGTTCCAGTGGGTGCTGTTGAGGGTTGCCATTCTCAAAGAGCTGTCTTGGCGTGTTCGCTGTCGCGGATTTGGGGGCTGAAACAGAAAACCAAAGCTGTTGAGGACTCTGTTGATCTAGACTATGCTGTGATTTTTATCCCAAACTGTAAGAACTTTATCTCAGACTGGGTGCTCACTCCTCCTATGAACGTGAATTGTGGAATATGCAGATTTGCTCACAAAAGCATCAAACCCACAATCTTTGACTCTGTGATTTGTCTGGAGCATTTATTTCAGTGATGACTGGTCCATGTCTGTTATGGAATTAAAGAGCTTTGCTTCTTTATTTTAAGTATATGCAAAGACAAAAGGGTTACAAAGATATGCTTTGAACATACAAAGTGAAAACTTAGCTGTGTTCATTGCAAAATAGTCCTGGCTACCCACACTGAGTTTAATTTCGTTCAATAATCAAAACTACCCAGCAAAGGGGCAGTGCTGATGTTTTGTTCATTAAGCTTTGTTCACAAAGAATGCTTTAACGAACCTTGCGTATCCCAGAAATAATTCTGTGGTCAACCTGTTTAGACCGTGAAAACTACAAAAATGCCTGAATAAATGGGAAGTGGTGAAGTACAAGTATGATGGTGTCTACTAAAACAGATACTTAAAGCACTCTAAGCACCTGACATGATTTTTGTGCCATTATTAAAAAAAAAGATATTATGAAAACCAGGATGATGCAGCTGAGCCAGCTTGCGATTTATGTCTTATTTTTATTTTTCAGATATTATACATTTTGTTCTTTATCCTTCTGTCTTTAGTGGGTTTAAATTGAAACAGAAAAATTTTGTTGGGAAAATAATTGATATTAGTGTATGTTACAGACATTTATTGGAGGAGTTGCAGTAACATTGTTTCCTCTGTTAAATTGGTGACTGAATACACAAATTTGTATTTGAATACACAAATTTGTATTTGAATACACAAAGTGTGACTGAGATGGGTAGGATTAATTAAACTGTTTGGTTTTTTTTCTTAAGCAAAAGTTTACAGAGCAAATCCAAGCTAAAAATACTCCTGAGTTGAGTTGGGTCCCGGCATTGAGAGCGTGGTTTGGTTTGGTTATGGTCTAAGAAGGAAACTCATCTGACTTGTTTTGCAAGGGATGGGGCTAAAGTCAGGAGGGTTTTCGAAGGCGTGGTCTGAGCACTTATTTGAAAATCCATGAGTGAGAGAGAGAGGGCTGAATAAAAGGATTTGGAGTCCCCTTTGAGGGGTAATTAAAACAAGCATGATTTTAATGTGTTTTTTAAATGGCAAGAGAATATCATCAGGAAAGACAGCAGAAGGGTTTTGTTTTGAACTTTTAAAGCAGATTTCTAAGACTGAGGATTTTGCTTGCTCTGTAAACACCAGGCACAAAAATTAACGGTTTCTGCTGATGCAAAATGTGGTATTTTAGTCATTGTTAGAAGTGATCGAGACTTGAGGCTGCTGTAGAGACCCAGCATGTTTACACAGCAAAGCCAGGACCGTTTGCTGGCACAGGGTGATGCCCTCTGCCCCGTCTGTTCCCGAGAGGACGGGGTCCCTGCCGCTGGGGCACAGCACAGCAGCCGTCCCTTCCCGCCCCACAGCCACCATTAGGGCAGCGCTTTGCACACCGTAGAGACACTCGTCTTTACTCAGGGATGCGGAATTTAACGCCCGTGCTGGAGGTGGGTTGTGCTTCTGGAGGATGGTGGTGATCAACTCAGATTTGAATGAGGCGAGGCAGAAAAATATCAGCTGCTCGTTGCTGTAATTAGTAAAATACGCGACTGAAGTAGCTGTTACCGAGCCTTCAGAATTAACACAGCGCTAATAAGGCTGGCGTCTTTGACAGCTGTCAGAGATGGTCTGCTCTCATGCAGTTTTACTTATTTCATAATGGCACAATTTAATTTCATGTATCATTGTCTTTAGACGCTGCAGAAGAGCAGCTTTATTTGTAATCGTATTCATGGAGCCAGAGGGAAATGACCGGCAAAAAAATCATTTCAGTGCAGTACTGAGGAAGTCCTGTTCAGGAAACCACTGAATAGATATCCTGGGGTAATAGCATTTACACGTCTCAGATGGATTCTGAGCTGTCTGTTTGTGTTATATTGATTGCTGCTGCAGTATTTACAAGGATAATAATATGCAATGGGATTGTCTTCCTGCCCTAATATACCAAATTTCTATAACCAGTTTCTGGTATATCCATGAACATAGATCTCTTTCAGGCAGCTTAATTGATATGTTTTATGGATTACCTGCCTGGGAGATACCCTTCTTAAATTTCGGGCTGAGCTGTCTTTGTTTTAAGGCAAGTCCTTTCACTATCATTTCTGTAAAAACACATGGAATCAGTTACAGGGGACGTGAGGCTGCAGGAAGCCAGCTACCCCCCCAGTAAGCATCAAATCCATTTTGTTTGCTGAATCTTGGCTGGGTGCATTAGCTTTTCCCTAAGATGGAGTGGTCATCGATTTTCCATTGGTGCACAGATGGTGAAAGTGCTTGTCTGATAGTGCAAGACAAGCTCCCCTGCGCTAAGCGGAATAAAATCCCACTAAACAGAGAGAAAAATCATCCCCATGCGAAGAAGCCTTTTACAGCCTTGTAGGCTACAAGCAGATTTTCTTTCAGTAATCAAGATTAACCTAAGAGAAGGTTATAAAATGATCCACACCTACCTCTTGCGTGAAAGGATGCTGAAAGAGCGCAGTTCTGGTCCCTTTTTTTAATGCAGCCGACAGGCACAGCTAAGATGGAGCTTTCCTGCCATTGGCCAGAGCGGGATGCTGCTGACGACTTCCTTTCTGCTCATTTGCATCAAGCCCTCAGCCCCAGGAGTAAATCATTCAGAAATCTGACTCTTACTGTCAGGAACAAGAAGCCAAACCCCTTCTCACTCTCATTTTCGGGATGCTCTTTGTGCGTGAGGAGGTTGTGAGCAGAGAGGCGCGCTGGGACGTGATGGTGGCCGTGACCCCGCTTTGCTGTGCGCTGGAGAGCAGCCGGTCGAACCATGATGTTTGAAGTGTTAATATCTGCGGGCTGCAGCCTCGCCGCGCCAGTTAGACTTGTCGTGAACTGCAGCAGGCTGTAGCCAGGCAGATTAACCAAGATAATCTTCTCAATTCAATTGACAGAGCAAATACATGATAAGTCATCTTAACTATTTGTTGTGCCTCGGAATTTATTTCAGTCACTTTAGGTCTCTTGTTACACGTATGATTTTTCATTTATAAAATGTCCTTTATAGACATTATTTTTTAATGATTAAAGGGGATCTCATAGGGGAAAACCCCTCCAGGCTGTATTTTCAGGGAGAGATGGCTTTTTTTTTTTTCCTTCCTTTTTCTGTCTTAATTCAGTAACCAGAATAAATTGCACTTCATAGCTGGAGTTACACTGATTCTTCTGCATTAATTCTAGAATTGTTGAACTACGTAAAGCCTCCAGTACGATGTCACATCATAGCTTCACCTCTACCAGTCACCAGGTTACAGATTTGATGTTTGTTCCTTAACCATTGTGTTTTTTACTGTACTAGCACTGGTTTCCACAAAACCTTCACAAAAATTACCAAATGTGGATTTGTTTGAAATTTGACTACATCCAAAATTCCCACTTGGTAGTTGCCTCTTACAGTGACATACAGATCAGCTTAAAAGAAGGTTGAGATGCAATGGAACAGATGTGAAGAAAATTCACCTGATGCATCATGACTTGGGAACCTTCCTTTGGAGTTTCCTGTGCAGAACAGGGCAGAGGCGTCTCAATTTAAACACAGTGGATGCAAGTTATCTTCTTTCACCACCGCAGACCCCTGTGCTCTTCCACCCCTCCTCACCGCCACTCTCACTCGTACCCTCCAGCTGCAGAGCAAGGACTTTGCTCAGCAGCTCTGCTCAGCGCCGCTCCAGCCTGTCCCTCAGTTCATGCACTGACTTTAATTGTTCTTGTTCTCCCTCAACTGATTTTTCCACAGAAATAATAGAAGCTCAGTATCTCCGAGATATCTACTGTCCCGTCAACTTTGTTTAGGAATCACCAGTGGATTAAAAAATTCCTGTAGTGGCAAAGGGGGAATTTTGTTTTTCTGGAGTAGCTGAAATTCTGCAAAGCTGTTACCATTAAGTTGGAGCAGCATGTTGCTGGTAATGGGCCTGTGGCTTTTGATAGCGGTCTGTGGCTATTTCTGCTTAATGCACTGTGCTATAAAATTAATAAAAAGCCATTAACAACCTTGCAAGAATTTTTGAAACAAGCTTTACGCAGCAGCAAACCTCATGATACATTAAGACAGAAGCAGACTTGGCAGCAGAGAGGATGCTGAGTTGCTGTTCCAGTGGAGCAATGCACTGAGTTGAATTGTTTAGAATATCAATTCTCCACTAAGAGCTACTTCAAATTTAAAAAAAAAAAAAAAAAAGCGCAGCACACCAAGCACAGCCAGTGGAACTGGTGAATACCGTTTGGGATTAAGTGAAACTTTCTGCTCATCTCTCTGTGGGTCTGAATCGAATTTCTGTCCGTAGCTGTAGTTCTGAAAGCCTGTGGAAGCAGAGGGAGAAAGAGACAGAGCGCAGAGCCAGCAGGGTGTTGTTGAAGCAGTGTTTAATTGTTTGTGTTCTCCTTTTGTAGATCACAGCAATGGATCCTTTAACTTGAAAGCCCTTTCAGGAGGCTCTGGCTACAAGTTTGGAGTCCTTGCTAAAATCGTGAATTATATGAAGGTACAGTGTTTTGATGTAAAATTACAATGTTTTGAAATACTTTAGTTACTTAGTCTCCTGTGGTAGCTAAAAAATGATAAATATTTCAAACTCTCAAATTCTTTTACTGTAAGAGTGAGAATTGCAAGAAACTGTTAAATTCAGTGCTGTTGGTAAACAAAATGGTAAGCATATTGTTCCATCACTGAAATCCTCCCTATTCCAGGTCACTTTAAAACTAGGAGAATGGTTTTTATTTGCCTCAGACATAGGATTTGGAAGATGTTGTCAGCTTTTAGG